TAAAATGATCTATTACATATGAATCGATGCAGAATTGTCTGCTCTACAAAATGAAGTGAGATTTATTTTGGTATTGCCATAAGCATGGCATATATTTAAAAAGTACTGAAAAAAAAGTGGAACTTTAAAAATATGGAATATTTTAGTTTTCTATTATTTAGTCCTAGATAGTTAAACATATCATTATGTCTGAATACATGATTTTATACAGTAAACATCCCTCTTTCAAATGAATCATAAGAATTTGATAGCTTTTGAGAAAACCGAAAATACGAAAATTTGTGAAAATTCACGGTCTTTGGTGACAAGAGTGACCCTCAATAGAGTGTTTGGCCTGTAGTTTTTTAACAAAGCACTTTCAGAAAGAGTTATTGCAGGGTTAGTGGTTATTTTGTATGCTCTTTCGAACGAGATATGAATAAAAATAAAATAAAATTTACCGCCGGACAGCTTTAGGTTGGTTTTCTGGCGACGGCTCCCTTAAAGTGGCTACCTATCTATTATTGTTCATAAATGACAAAGGGTCAGTTATTTTTCTACGGTACTGTACTTCTTCCGTTACAACTATTCTCCGAAGTTTTCCCATATTTTAAATGGTTTTTGCTTCTCTGCAGTGATCATACAGTAGCATTGCCATGCATTAAATGACGACGAAACAATTCTTTACATGCGTTCGAATCCTTAAGGGTACCCCCGGTCGAAAACGCTTTAAAAAAAAGTGAACCTGAGATAAGGTGTGAAGTATCTGTGGTAAAATTTTGAGCTCGATCGGATCATTTTTTCGAGGGATCGTAATGTGTGCTAAGTGAAGTGACTATTGAAAAACCGCACAGTGAGAAAAACACATTGTACACAGGGCTCTTTTTTTCAGGGCATTTGCGGCTATGGTTATGTCTCTAAGAAAATTGATAGAAAAACTCTGGAAAACATCTCATTTTGAAGAGCACACTTTCTTCTATCATATAAGAAAATTCTAGAATAATAATTTCTAGAATAATAAGAAAATATATAAGAAAAAGTTTTGAATATATAGGAAAGGAGAGAAAAATTTACGAGCCTAAAAAGTTGAGATTTTCTAGGCTTTGAAGGAAAAACTTAAACTTCATAATTTTTCCAAGGAAGGTCATGAAGAGCTGGGAGGGATCTCATTTTATAGCCGAAACATTCCTCTACATTATACTATGTTCAGTTCAAAATGACAACTTTTCTGCAAAAAAGAGGGGGAGGGGGTATCGTTAACTCGAGCAAACGCGTTAAGAATTTTAATTCTAATAACGCATTCTACTTGATGAATGAGGTTAAATTAATTGAGGAATGGGAAGGCGTTCGAACGCTTTTTTTTTAACGCCTAAGAAGCGTTAGAGAGCTCCAGAAGCTTTCTAGCGACGTAATAATGCATTAAAACTTTACATACATTATAAGCGTTGACAAAAATAATACATTCGAATGTTTTCAGTTCTCACTGATACCTTCAGAGAACGCGTTAAAAATATGAAGTCGTGTAAAGCCTTAAAATCTGTCAAAAGAAGAATTTGAAGACCTAAAGTCGAAAAAAACCTTTTAATGCCTGCGGGGGTCCAAAATGTCTTCCTGGGTACCCTGATACATATACCGTTCGACAGAGAATGTTTCGAGCTATAATTGGATATATACACCATAGAAATAAAAGCGTTTTCAATCAATAGAGACACGAGAAACAAAAGCTTCGCGAAGTACAGTGGTGTAGGATTCCTAAGTTCCCGGAAAGTCGTGAACTATAAGTTAATTTCATGTAGACGAACGAATTCCTAATAGGAATTTCGCAATTCGTGAAAAATAAAATTTTCATTACAGTGGAAATTTTGGCATAGGAATTTCCACTGTGTATGCAAAACGCAGGTAACGCACAGACGTTTTTTCAACTTCGAACGAATGTATCTAGAGAATGATAAGAGGGAAAGACTTGTAATTATTAACAAATATGTAAGTAAACAAGTTCTACAATACTTGAAAATTTGAGCCTTAACCGTCAACTTGTTTAGATTTTATGAGTAAATACTGGTCGGTAACAATTTTGCAACAGATATCGTTGTTTATATTGAGACGCAGCTCCATCGCTGAAGAACACAATTTCTTCCAAATCCGGTAAATATTGCTTGAGTTTACTAATGATGTTATTCAAACATACGTCCACACAATATTTATTGCGAGTAACATTGTCAGATGCCAATGCGAACGAATAACTATTCGCTTCGCACCATGCGTACACTGTAAAAATTGACAACGTCTTTGTATTCCAATGAGATGACTGAATAGCATCCTGATGATCCATAGCGAAATTCTCAGCATAATCGACTTGTAGAAGAACTTTTCGATCATCCGTATTTTCTTTGAGTCGTTCGAATAGACTACTTTGAGCACGCTTGATGAATACATGTAATAGGTATTGTTGAATGAGGCCAGACAAATGTTGAACACAGCCTTTCACAGTTCCTTCAAATTCTTGCTTCTCTGCACGACCATTATTATTCGTCCATTGAAGCCATTTGATCGTTATCGTGAAGTCGACGATATTTCCTTCAACTTTTGTCTCGAAATATTTAGCACACGTCTTGCAGTTTGAGGACATGCATGCTTCGTTCGACTCATCACACACCAAAGCATTCGTAAACGTTTGCAAATCCGAGCACACTCCACCTTTCACATGTTTCGCTAATGCTTCCAGCAATAGATTTATATTCTCATGGTATGCACACACACATACACGATGGCTCATTAATGCTTTGATCAGTACATATTGTGGACGTAGTTCTGCGAAACTTGTTCGAGCAATGTCTAAAATTAGAAAGAAGTAGCCTATTACCATTAAATCATATGCTGTCAAAATGACCCGTACCAGAGCCAGAATGTTCCAATAAGAACAATTGATGTACTTCACGAATGTTGTATAATAAAATTCGTTTCTGATGAGTCGATTTTGTTCCGTTCTGCCTGGCAACGATCGTGTCTCGCTTTCCCGGCATTTGATACAATATATCATCTCGACAATAAAATTTAACACTGTCATCCTTCAATTTGCACGACAATTGACGGGTGGTACGTTTGTGAATAGATTGGCCTAATAACCCTATTGATTGAGCAATCGCTTGAATGACTAGCTTTTTCTTTGATGGATCTTGCGGAAGGCATCTAGTTACTCTTTTAACAGCTTTACCAAGACTGTGCTTTGAGCCGAATGATGCACTAAGCAAAATAAAACAAATTACACGCTTCACGTAAGCGGTACACGTAAAGATAACATACCTCGACTGGCGTCTGTTAGCAGCGCGAACACTTTTACGGGCTGCTGCATCACGCTTACGATACTGCTCTCGTTGGTGATCGGATAATTTACTACGCACATTTGTCATTCTTTCGCGATTTTTCGCTTTCATAGCGTTATGACGACCTTTTCTTGTCAGATTTTCTCGGTAACGCTTCTGTTTTTGAGCCGCAGTGAGCTTCATATCAAGCAAATGTTTTACCAATCGATGGATAAGATAAATTTACTAGATGCCGAAATAATCCAGAAGTGATAAAAGCATAGTTCCTGACGATGTTTTCCAGAAATCCCCTCAAGAACTTTTGCGATTCTATCCTCTGCGTTTTATTCCCAACAATGTAGTCGGCAACAAAGACCATGCACGGGTATCTCGGACTTCAAATTTCAGCTGAAACAAACAACTTTCAGCTGGTCTTTATAGAGATTAATATGAGGCGCCCAAAAAGTCGTGTCTGTGCGTTACGAAGTTTCTCGGCACTAAAGCACTTGAACCAAAAACCAATATATGTGGATTGGATAGCCCATCAAAATTAAGCGGAAGATCAACAAGAGTTTAAAAATAACTAGCTTTAGCTTCGCCAAAATATTTACTATACTCGATTTTCGGTAACGCACAGACATAGGTTTGTTCTAGTTTTTCGAAGGTATTTTTCTCATAATAACAGCGTGGGAAACTTTTCAACAGACGAGAAGAGAGCCCAGCTTCTGCGCTTCAAAATGATATAAGATAGTTGATGATAATCACTTTTCTTCTCCCATTGTATACACTTTTCTTGTAGCACGATGAATCATGCAATATTAGTAATTGATCCACCATTTTGTTTCGCCCCTGTTTTTTCGTTTAATAAGCGTCGGCAAATAGAACCAAATACAGTTTCCTATACAGAAAAGTGCGCTCTACAATTTGCCAAGTTTCAATTTTGTTGAATTTCAACTTCTACTTTAATCATTGTGGGTGACCGTTAGCCGTTTTGCATGTGTAGTGAAAATTTTGTTCGATTAACAGGGAGCTTAGTTAACCACGTTTATCTTGAATTATTTTCAATGAAAATATCAGTAAAATTCGACTTATTATATACTATTTTTTTGTCTAAAACCGCACACACCTAACGCTTCATGCTAACTGGTATGAAAAAGTTTGTTAACTGAACGATAGTCCCATATCCAGCCTATATAAATCATCAAAACAAAGAGACTTACCACTGTCGCTGACGTATTGAATTGTTTATTGGCATCATGAATGAGTGATATCGGAGTTGCCTAGCAAAAGAGTTAAATGTGCATCGTCCAAGACTAATCTAGCAGAAGTGTAAAAAAAGAAAAGTGCTTATGCTATTTATTTCTGAAGTAGTCCTAGAAAACGTGCAGTTTTACCCTTTAAAGAGGGAAGATAAAAAGAAAAGTCAGACCACTGTGTGTACTTTATAACCTTTCGAAAACACACGCAAGCGAAGGCCGCGTGACATCGAAAAGGACCAAAAAAACGAGTTTTACACGTAGGCATAGGTGTTAAAAACGACAAACCATTTTAACAATAGGGAGAGAGATAAGCAACGAATATAAGAACGAAATAAAGGAGTAGAACACAGCGCTCATGAGATAGAGTTCACGATGGTATTAACGATTGACGAAACGTTCTTATAAAATTCTTTTTCTGTTCATTTCGACGACGCTCCCTTCTTGTCGAAGTAAAACTATGTTTCGAGTTTTAAGCTACTACATTGACTTCGGGTAAAGGACTTCGCTGAAGTGTTGTATTCGCGATCGGCATCATCGATTGAGTATTGGTTTGTGCTAAACTTGTTGGAAAGACACGACGACGATGAAAATTGATAAAGGTTGGACATAATGAACTTAGAAATTGTCGACGAAACAGTTGACTTGTTAAGCAGTGAAGAAAGAAGTTAATGGCATAGTTAACACCTAAGATAAACGAAAGTATGGCCGGTAATTCACTGCTTGTTAGCGTGCTTTGGTTCAACAGATGACGTGCTAATAGAATATTGTAGACTGCAGATGGAACTGTTGTAAGGAAGAATATGATAATTGAACTCAGCATCAGAATAAACATTTCACGTTGCAAGTAGATTTGTCGTCGACTGCGTCTTTCTCCTTGGGGTTGCAATTGGCGTTTCCTCGATTTAATTATTGTAAACATGTCAACTAGAAAAGCTAACATGAGTAAGGACGGAACAATGCTCTGTGCAACTGGGAAGAGATACGCCCAAACATCGCCGAAAAATGCAAAGTAGATAGGATAGGCAGTGTTACCAACGCACATTTGAGTAATTTTACTATCACCGAACATCGGTGTGAGCAGATGAGAGCAGAGGCCAGTGGAAACTAGGGTTACAATTAATATGCAAACTAGAAGGTACTTGAGTGTGCAATACTTCTTTGATTTCCATGGAAAACGTGTACGAATCCATCGATCGACAGAGACTAAGACCAATGTCCAAGCGGAAAAGAGCATGAAAAATTTAGATAAAAATGTACGAAAACGACATAGTGGCACGTAGTAGTAATCTGTTAAACGGAGACCATAGATGAAGAAATCGTGGGTGAGAAGAAACAAATAACCAAGATCAGATACAGCCAAGAATACAAATAAAATACTTGTTGAAACACTACGCAGCGTTTTACGTGAAAATGTAAATAAACTACATAGACTTCCAATTAAGCCGACCAAAAATAGAGCTGAATAACCATATAAATAGATGTATATTTCGATAGGTGATGAGGATGAGGACATTGGATCGCCACCTCCCGGACCGCCGCCGCCACCACCGTCCGGACCACCATTTGGCGGCGGTGGCGGCATATCATCACCACCAGGAGGAGTCGGAAAAATTTGTGCCATCGAACTGAAGTATTCTACTTAAATTGTGCACTTCATAATAGAAAATGATGAGAGAATAAGAAAAAAAGATTCACAAATTCTACAGTTAGCTAAGAAAAGAAGAAGAAAAAGTAGATCTTTTTTGACAAGTATGAGAAGAAGAAACTTACATTTCCGTTCAATTTGCGTAGCTGCATGGGTTAAGTGATGGTAGAAGGTGTTTCTAAATCTTCATCATCATTTTTCCGATGATGGAGAAAAATGATCCCTGTTCTTTTTGTTTAATTTTTCATTCACTATTTTTATATATCGAGCTTTACCATAACTCCTTATTAGATTTTGAACAGCAGCGTTTTTGTTGAGCGCCGATATGTTTTATGTACCTTCTCAGAAAAGTTAATTTAAAAGGGTTATAATGGTATATATGCACTTAAAAATGTGTAAAATCGTTTTATCTACAAACTCTGATCACAACTAAGTCGAAAAGGCAGTAGGCCGACATCAAGAAAAATCAGGCCCCTTCCTTTACTTTATGGAAGAAATTTTGCTCTTATGACTACTGTAAGTTATGCAGCATCCTAAAACATAAAGACTAAAACTTCTAAATTGCCTGAAAAGAAAACCTAAACCGTGCATTTGTTTCCAACTCAATTTTCTACGAAACAGCGTGTCTCTCGGTCTTTACAGTAGTATTGAGTACATATTGATGTTCTCTAGGCCTAATTTGGCTTAGATTCCCTGATGTGACACAAAATCTAACTCAATTTTTACTGCTGAACATAAGTCTGTTTTCATTTTCTATTATGAAGTGCACAATTCAAGTAGAGTACTTCAGTTCGACGCACAAAGTTGAAGAATTCATTATTTTACCATAATTGATAACAGCTTGGTCTCAGCAACATCCTGAACATGAATCTGTTATCAGTTATGGAAAAATAATGAATTCCATCGAAAACATATACTTCTTTTAGAAACATGTCACTTGTTGTATACAATACCACATCACATTCCGTCGTCTGTTTCGATCTGTTGAGACAGTTTTCATTCAAGGCATACTTATGCTTCGATCTTCCAAAAATGCCTTCCGACCTCTTTACGAATCGGCCATAAAATGCAATTCAGGTATCACTACTAGAGGTCCACTCGATTGGTTCTTTATAAGAAACACCAAAATGTTGGACAAGCAATAAAATCACCCATTAACAGCACTGGAGATCCACTTGTG